TGTTGAAAAGACACAAGTTATGATATTTTGTGGATTAATTAATCCCAATTAATGAATTTTGCTGAATTTAGAATATTTTAATTCATTCTGCAAACCAGTTTAATGTTACTCTTACAGTGTTTGATTGATTATTCCGTGTGCCTAAGCATTTTTCAAAACACAAATAAAGTATAAACATAGTTATAAATAATTCCGCTCTCATCTACAATTCATAGACACTTTGCACAAATATAGAATCCTATATATAAACTATGATGATTATACAGCAAGGTGTCAGAATTATTGGCGTGTTTGAAATTTTATGTGTATTTTATGATGAAATCAATATTTTTCGACGGGTCATAACTTTACTTCTGAATATCGAGATTACAAAAGTCAAAAACTGGTCTGGAGAACTTTTTCTTAATTTCAGAATTTTGTGTTGATGTACCTCAAAACACATAATTTAGGCCGTTCTTTAAATAGGCGATAGCGAATTATATAAAAAACTATAAATTTTATAAAAGCTATCTTTCTCCTCTAACTGACGCAATAAAATATAGTCGGGCGGACTCATCCCGGAATTCAGGGGAAGCAGCCGAAGGCTTCAAGTCCAATAATCAAAATGTTTCTCTTTCGTCGTGATTATCGACGAAATTTAACTTCTTTCGAACTTCTTTTTAGACTGAACTGTAGCATAAAGGATTATCTCTCGAATGATCAAGACTCCGTAACAGGAAACTGACCCTCAGAAGTCAAGTAATGATCGTTTCTAAAAGCTTGGATGAGCTAAAATTTCACGCAAAATTGTCTACGCGCCAATAATTATGACACCCTGCTGTATAGGTGTACATAGTCTATACGGATTTTACTTGATAGAGTGCTTTAAATTTAAAATTGTCCAAAAGCATTTAATTAATATAGAATCTTAGTTCACGTGTGAGCTCAGTCGTAGCTGTGAGATAGAGCTAACCGGGTCTATCTGAAATAGATATGTTTGCGTATTGTGTCTATATATTAGATTATTATTATTCGACTAGTGTTGAATGATTTATCGTAATCTGTATTGCATCGTCATTGTATTGTGATAACTATATTTAGAGTCAAAAGTTGTTGATGACGTAACATCAAAAACATGTGAAAGAAAGTATATTAAAAACAAATTTCCTGCAACAAAAATGTACCTAGTAATTTCATAATAATTAATGCATTTTATCAGATGGCAAATTATACTTATATCAATACCTGAAAAAGAATAAAAGAGGGCGAAACTTGGAAAATTTAATAACTCCTCAAGCTGGATTGCAATTCCTGAACCTCATTGAAATTGAGAATTTTAAGTTAAACATTTGGCTTTAGACAATGTAATTTGCAGTTATACACTTATTATACACACACAGTATTGTTCCTCCGCCCTGTGGACCACATAGAGGCTAGCTCATATAACATCTGAACTGCTGTTATTTAAAACACATAGTGCGAAGCGAAGCTCAAACTAACAGTTGTACTGAAGCTTTAGTTTGGAGATCACTTCTAGTAAATGTTTAGAACATTAAGTTTAGTGGTTTAATAGCTTTATGTAGCTTTACAAGTATCAGCATTATCCGAATACCTTGTTAACATTAAGTTGAACCTGTTTCAAATTTGATAACCACATTCGCTTGTTTTCTATTTTCTGGGTTACTACCATCACTTTTGAAAAGCTTGTTTCTGCCTGATGTCAGATGTAAACAAAGCGAAAAGCTCTTCAAATAAACACTGACATTTAGTTTTGTACAGTCCTTGACTTATTAGTGAAATGGAGCAGAAAAATGTTCCAGACGTTAAAGATGAGATGAAGATGAAAGAAGAAAGTTTTCCACCAGAATTGATCAAGACAGAGACTAAGAAGGAGGAAGATAATTTTCTTATTAAATCAGAAGTGTATTCGAATGCAGTTTCTCAGTTGGATTGTCCCAACCAGGAGTCAGCAATAGCTTGCCACCAGTGGGTTAATACCAGTGAAAATGCTTACATTCGCTCCGAATTTTCTTACAATGCAAACCAAAAAACAGCTTTAGTTTCACATCAGCGGACTCATACCGGTGAAAATCAAAAACCATATAAATGTTCCGAATGTTCCTTTAGCCATGGCTGGAGATCAACCCTGGTTCGACATCAGATGACTCATACCGGTGAAAAACCATATAAATGCTCTGAATGTTCCTACAGTGCAAGCCAAAAATCACACCTAGTTCGCCATCAGACAACTCATACCGGTGAAAAACCATATAAATGCTCTGAATGTTCCTTAAGTACTAGTCAAAAATCAACCCTGGTTCGACATCAGATGACTCATACCGGTGAAAAACCGTATAAATGCTCTGAATGTTCCTACAGTTCAAGCAAAAAATCAAACCTGCTTAGTCATCAGATGACTCATACCGTCGAAAAACCGTATAAATGCTCTGAATGTTCCTTTAGTACTGGCTGGAAATCAACCCTGGTTCGCCATTATATGACTCATACCGGTGAAAAACCATATAAATGCACCGAATGTTCCTACAGTTCAAGCCAAAAATCAGACCTAGTTAACCATCGGATGACTCATAACGGTGAAAAACCGTATAAATGTTCTGAATGTTCCTACAATTCAATCAAAAATTCACTCTTAGTTCGCCATCGGATGACTCATACTGGCGAAAAACTGTATCAACAGAATAACTCAAATTTTTTTCATGAAAGCGGTCAGGCTTCGACTTTCTCTCAAAAAGATAGTGTTCGAGGACCCATTTTTGTTAAGCCTCTACCTTTCGTGAAGCCTCTCACATTTGTAAAGCCTCTGTACTTCGATGACCCCTTTCTTTCCAGTTCTAGCTTACCTCCCAGTTCCTTCTCCAGTTACCAACCAGCATCTCACAAGTCTCACCCTGCAGCTCCTCTCACCTTCTCACCTGGTGAGTCTGTTTTCACACCTGCTCCCACTGTCCCAGCTACCTTATACTCTACAACATTTCCTTCCCCTCTCATATTTCGTGCCAGTTCAGCGACCATGGGGCGTTTATCAACATTTATGTGATATGTTATGATGGGGACGAAGTTTCTGGTTGAAATCAAATATCAATTAGCACAATGCTGACTTAAATGGTTTAATAAATCCTAGTTGTTTTACTATTACAATGTACATTGCATTGGGGGGATATGTGACAAAGTATAAATTAAAACTGCATGGTTCTATAAAGTTAAGTAATTATAAACAATAATCAGGGAATATTACAAAATCTATATTAATGTTATTAGAAGTTAGTATAATACTTTATACGTTAATAGTTTTGTTTTATTAACTTTTTCGAGCAGGAATCCGTATAACCCTAAAATGGTGTCAAGACTCAAAAGACTAAATTAATTATTACCTATTTAATTCGCGTTTTTGACACCACTCGGGGTCCAAATTTGGGGCTTTAAAACTCCTAATTCTTGGCCTATTTTTATTTTTCATGCTGATTTGGAGGCCATTAAAGCATTTTACTCAGTCAAAAAGGTTTCGGTTGTGTATATTTTACGGTTTTTGTGGAAAGTCACGTTAAAGTTGATGCCGTGGTGTCAGTAAAATGGTACGGATCCACCCATCCATATATATCGTCTCGCTTTATATATAGTAAGATATTGCTATCCCAAAATCAATAAAGAGCGGGTTACTAATTACTAATAATAAAAGGACAATCGTCTGATTTTCCAATTTCTAGCAAACGTTTTTTGTTAGAGTCAACGTTTTTTGTTAGAGACAATGTTCAGTAAGTATAAATTCGGATCAGAATGAACATGACAACATCCTAGAATCTCAATATTGACATTTAGACTGTTATATATGGTAGATATTCTGACATATTGGATTTAATTTTTCTAAATTTACAAATTGAACTTAAGTTTTGAGAGTATATACCAAGTTAGCGCCAGCCACCAGAATATTAAATAGATTGACATGCACCACGGTACTTTCAATTTAGTTGCTACTTAGCTAATTAGCTACCACTACTACTACTACAAATCTGTGACTTTTACTCAGTCGAAACTAGTACCGTGTAATGTAATCACCATCAAAGACATTTGCCGGCGCAGGTGCAATATGTTTAAATTAACCTTTGCTGAAATTAAATTCCTCCACCTTAATTAGCTAAAGTGAATAACCGCTATGAAAATATTAAATCGCGAATTTGAATTACCACAGCTGTTGAGTACTGACAATAGAATTAATTAATTTAGTCACTAATAAGATTGAGCCATCTGTAAATTGTCACGGTCTAGACCATTTTATGTTAGGGAGTGTGAGAATGGATATAATGGTTTTACTTATCTCTAAAAATCATCATTATCTTTAAAAAGTCAAATAAGTTTGTTTTTAGTAGCGTATATCATATCGTTTGAAGATGAAACTACTCGGATGCCTGTTCACTGTGATGATAGTTAGCCACACTCTCTCGAGTGAACTGAAGATATTGAATCTTCCAGAGGGTCAAACTGGTCCTGCACCCTGTGCCCTGACCTGCTCTGGCGTGTCAAGATACAGCGAAAGTGGTGGCTACGGATGGCGGAATCATGCTGATAGTAAAGCACTCAAAATTACTGACTTTAAAGAATGTGGATTTGTCTCCGTACCTGTAGTAACTGTTTCAGTCAGAGGATCTCACTATAGTTATAACTGTCCCTCCATCAGCATAATTGGTGTCAGCAACACATTGTTGTTTGTAATCACGGTGGGGAACGCAACACCCAGTCAAATGGTGCGTGAGCAATGTGACGTGTACTGGACTGCAAACGGCTACAACTGTTGAAAAGACACGCGGGATTATATTCTAGTTACTTTAAATGTATTTATCTTGCAAACCAGCAATACAGTGTTTTATTGATTGTTCTGTGTACTAAAGCATTTTTTTTTCAAACCATAAATAATCTAGTAATTTTCTGTCTAAGAACTGACAGGTTGGTTACCATGGTTAGATTTGATATTATACGTTTATTAAAACAGTATCAATACTTTCAACACTACTATATAACAAATAATTTGAGGCTTATGTCACTGAAGATGACGGCTTGCAACATGTTTGACGATAGCCTGTAAATTGATAGTTTGATCTCAGTATTTACAACAAATCATCTAGCTTGATTCTTTGATTGATTCGAAGGGAGAAAAAAATTTCTCTATTTTTATTAAAACAGTAAGAATACTGATCCAGGATATTAAATAAAGTGACATGAGCTTCGACAGTTTCAATTTAGTTGCCACTTAGGTACTACGACTATTGCTACAAATCCGAGACTTTTACTCAGTACTATGCAACTTAATCATCATGAAAGACATTTGCCGGCACAGATATGATATGTTCAAATTAGCCTTTGCTGAAATTAAATTCCTCCACTTTAATTAGCTAAAGTGAATAACCGCTATGAAAATATCAAATCGCGAATTTGAATTACGACAGCTGTTGAGTACTGACAATAGAATTTACCAATTTAAACTTTGAGAATGGTCTGTATAAAGACTGTACGTGGTTTCAATATAATATATATATACAGGTCAAACGTATCATTCAAAATCATAATTTGTCTTTGAAAATCAAGAAAGTTTGAATCTAATAGCTAAGCGTTCTTCGTTCCATTTCAAGATGAAGCTGCTGGGATCTCTGTTAACTATGACGCTTTTAAACCTCGCCCTGAGCGAAATAAAGATCTTAAACACCCCCGACGGTGCATGGCGCCCCCCACCCTGTGCCTTGATCTGCTCTGGTGTTGCCAGATACAACGACACCGGCGACTATAGCTGGATAAACTGGGGCGGACAAGCTTACAAAGCCATCAACATAACGGACTGTGGATTTAACACCAAACCAGTTGTTACCGCCACAGTGAGTGGAGGTTGGGGAGGGAAGATGGCTTGTCCCTCCATCTACATCAGGAATAACTTCAATACCAACACCATCCTGCACGTGGAGACGAGAGAGATGACGGATAGTGAGGAAATGGTGAGGTACAGGTGTGATGTGTACTGGAGCGCTGCTGGGTACACTTGCTGAGAGGGGGTGTATGTTGGGTGGACGAGGATGACATTTATTTTTAGTTTTTTTTAATTGATTGAAGTTTGGTTTTTTATTTTGTTTGGATTTTCGTTGTCATGACATTGTCAAAAACTTGATAATTAGCAAGCTGTAATACGGAGTCACTCAATAACTCTCTCTCTCTCTCTCCCTCTCCCTCTCTCTTCCTTCTCTCTCACCTCTCTCTTGCACACTTTCTCTGGGTTTGAATAAGAATCATTACCTACTACCCTGACGCCATTTCAGGGCTTTTAATTGTGATACAGTTTCCTTGGTTTCCCGCACATGCTGTTCAAGAACTTTAAATACTACAAATTAAAAATGACGAATTAAAATAAGAGATCAAAATGAAAGAGCAGAACTAGTCAACCCAATTAATTAATTGTTTCATGAAAACATTTAAAGTTAGAGTCATATGCGCAAAAATTGTTCATAAAATTTTTCATAAAAATTGTTCATAAAACCATTCGCCATTATTTATATCACAATTATCCAATCAGGTAAAATATTGTAAAATAGGGTAAAATGTGGCGAAATTTCCATGTTTATCATGAATCAAATTAAGCTCAGCCAAACCTCACAGATAATATGGTAAATTTTCCATGTTTATGTTTGCGCTTAACACCATCAAATTATCATTAAACCCAGCCAAACCTCAGGGATAACAAAGCGATAGCTCTGAGTTTCCTGAACGACCTCAAAGAAAGCAAGTCGGAGCTCGAACCAACACCGTCCTCAGAGGGGAAGATTGTCTTTAGGAAACGGGCTCGCACTAGTGAAAACCAGGTGACGTGCAGTCCGGTCAATCCTGCATAAATGCACCAAATATTAAGCGACAAAATGTTTGAAAATAGCAATTTAAAGGGTCTTTAAAAAAATGGGACACACGCAAACAAAATCTTATTTATGTGGTACTATATATATAGTTTGCTCATGTTTGATGTAGATAAAACACCGATTTATTAGTTTCCCGGATTTTTCAGGGAAAATTGTTCAAATTTTTATTCCTAATGAAACGGGCGGTAGATTCAACTAATTAATTTGTTGGGTGATTTCTGTAGTGTTTAAAATCATCCTAACGATTGATCGTCATCAGGGTGACGAGGAAATTCCAAAAGGTCCCAGTAAGCATAAGAATGCAGTGGTACAGGAGGAGTATGTAATTGGACAGACAAAATCCGTGTCTAAGAAACACGCACGTGCAGCTGGCGTGGCTCCTGCACGTGCAGATGGCGTGGATCCTGCGCGGCAGCAACAGTCACGTGATAGTAAAAGTTCAGGGAAGGGAAAAGAACGCGGAAGAATGACGGCGTGCTATTTAGATGGTATGAGCCCGTATGAGTTGATTACATATTGCTTTACTATCATGCATTTTCTTAACATTCTTTTAGCCATTACATCGAAGAATAATTAATTTTAGTCCTAGATTATTATTAATAATTCGTTATGGAGTTCATTTAGAACTTAACAATTTATCTCTAGACCGTTAATGATATTTGAAACAGGCGCTTAGTCGTAGAAATTTATCTCTATGACGGATATTATTGACGTAATATTGAAGCTTCTAAAAACGGTTATGAAGCTTATCTACTGTCATTCGATCCCATATAATATGGCCAAGCATTCTTGTACAAAATTTTCTGATATCTTATTTTGCTTTATCTTATTGCTATTTTTAGTACTTTACTTCAGTCCACTGTTCATAAGATATGGTCATTGGTCAGGTATTCTTGCAAAAAATATTTGTAACATTAAATAGTATTTATTTTTCACCTTGTCGTATTGTAAATTTCAAGATATTTTAGTACATTCTTTCAGACGAAGAAGAAGACTGAAGTCGCGTGGTCACGTGGTCACTCTACTGACGGAAATTAATTAATTCAAAGCGACATTATTTTTACGCTATTTGTCCGTTGACCGTACATGTAACATGATGACTGATGAGGCAGATCGAATTTCACAATCCACAGAACATTTCATGAAATTCTATATCAAAATGTTGCTACCTCAATGTAACATTAGTCATTAAGAACACCAGCTTATAATTACAGTACTACTATCTTACTGAATCTTACGGTGAGATGATGTTCACTTATTGAGGGGGTCCTGGTTCAAAATATTTTGTCATTTTTAAAGATTTCTTGCTTCGAAAATGTTATGTTTAATGTTATATCACTATCAGTCAAACTATTTATTCAATCATAGAATATGAGTCTTGCATTGGTTTGTTCTGAATCTTTTAACAACTTTCTTTCCATGACCCACAAATTTTGATAACAAATACCTCGTCTACCTAGTCTTTTATCTGCACTTCAATAATTCCCTCTCTAACAACCACTATTAAAACAAGGATGTACGGTCCTCTGTTGTTACTAACAACCCTGTTAACAACAACATGTTCCCTTGACAACACTACCCTGGTCACTCTGACAACCCCTCATTCTAAACTACAGAGAAATGAAACCAGCACCCTCACTCTGCAGCTCAATGAAGTTGTAAAAGAAGATCTCCTCTTCAACTGTACTCCTTCATCACAAGACCTCCTCACGATATATGGTGGCCAACAGATCACGGTAGGCTATGTTCTACTTATTTTATCTTTTAAACGATTTATATTCATAGATAATAGGTATAATTATAATTATCCTAGCTAACAGCAGCTCCATTCAATTATAGGTAAAGAATACAACTAACAGCACGACAGTGAATGTTAAAACTGGAGGTAAAGGTGGGACTTTCTACATCTCAACAGAGTTGCTGCAACATAAAGCTATCAACCTAACCATATCAGGTTCATTTAACATAAAGCTATCAACCTAACCATACCAGGTTCATTTAACATAAAGCTATCAACCTAACCATACCAGGTTCATTTAACATGAAGCTATCAACCTAACCATACCAGGTTCATTTAACATAAAGCTATCAACCTAACCATACCAGGTTCATTTAACATAAAGCTATCAACCTAACCATACCAGGTTCATTTAACATAAAGCTATCAACCTAACCATACCAGGTTCATTTAACATAAAGCTATCAACCTAACCATACCAGGTTCATTTAACATGAAGCTATCAACCTAACCATACCAGGTTCATTTAACATAAAGCTATCAACCTAACCATACCAGGTTCATTTAACTGAAAACTCTTTTTCTGATTGATTGAGGAGCACTACCCGAAGGCATTACTCGGCACTAACGCCTTAAAATCTTTAATTACAATCAAATATAAATATATGCACACAATGTATAAAGTATTAATAATGTATAAAATATGATTATGCTATTAGCAAATTTAAATAGTACTATTAAGAATTTTAAATAACTCTTATCTCTTGACATAAATTTAGAACAGCGACACAGGGTCTGAAGAATGCGCGGTGATATTTTTATCTTTTAAAAGTTGTAAATGACAGTGAAATTGCGCGGTGTCGATAGCATTGTAAAAAATGCTCGAAGATAGTCATATTTTGTTATGAGGTTAAAGTTTTGTTGCTCGTTATTATGATCAACGTACGTTGTACCAAATTATTTAAATTTCTAAAAGTACGAAATTTGAGTTGTCCCAGTCCTTGTCATCCGGTTTATGTGCTTGTGCAGTAAGCACATGCTTGTTGACAGTAGACTTGAATGAATTTAGGAATTTGTCTTGTAGGCAAGTGGTGACATATTTTATGTCCTTGTTAATAATGTTGACTGTTTGGTTATATAACTTAGGCCCAATGTAAGAAATGCTCTTGAGGTTAAAAAATCATATCATCCACTCATCCACTTCTTCTTCGTAGGGAGCTGTGGTCATTAACACTATTGGATAGATCATGACCACTGTAAGATAGAGCATTGGAGCCCTGTGCTCACCCCGGTAAAATATTAATTCATCCATTGCTAGACGATCAACTGAAACAGGGCTATTATATTGACTTATGAATATCTTTATTCGGGGATTCAAGTTTTAACCCCGCTCCCTTCACTTCTTGCTTTGTCCCCAGATGTTAACAGAACTCTTTCCCAGATTTGGAGATGTGTGTGGTACACTCTGAGAAGTTGGAAACTGTTATTGAAGTCCTTGGTTGGCTCTGCTTTGCCGTTTGGTCTATCTCCTTTTATCCACAAATTTACCAGAATTGGTCCCGGAAAAGTGTTTTTGGTAGGATTTTTTACAGTCACTATTAATTAATAGCAATTATAAGACTACCTATCTTTTGGAAATGGCTGCCCTTTGCGAACGGAAGAGCAGATTCTATCTTTTTCTTAAAAGTTAAAATCCTTGAACCTATCTCAATTTTTAGAAAAAATGCAATCTCAAACGCTATTATCCCTAACACTCAAACCCTGTCCTACCAGGACTAAGTTTTGACTTTCTCGGGTACAACCTACTCGGGTGGATCTGCTACTCAGCCTTCAACTTCTCCCTCCTGTGGGTAACCCCGGTCAGGAACCAGTACTATGATGCTTTTCCTCATGGTGTCATCAACGTTCAGTTGTCTGACTTCTGTTTCTCCTTCCATGCGCTTTTCATAACTGGTGAGTGAAAATACTCTTTCACTGTGTACTTAATTTATTCTCATCATCAGTTGTGCTGCTATGAGTATGATTATTCTAGGAATATATTTCTTCCAAAAATAAATCACAGATATTCTTAAAATTTGATCGTACCACGTGGATATGTCCATGGGTCTAAGTTTGTAGTCTGAAACCAACTATTGGCTTCTATTTAATATCTTTTATTATCGCCAGCATTCACAATACTACAGTGTATATGTTACGAGAGAGGTGGACAGAGGCCTAGCCCGCTGTGTTTATTTATCCTGACAGGTAACAAACAAGATAATACTAAATCAGTTGAAAATTAAATTGAGCTTCTTTTTAGTGTAAATTTTAATAATATAATGGGGGGTGTCACGTCCGTCTATGTCCGCTTGTCTCATAGAATCCAAAAAGGACAGGACATAGGCGGACATAGGCGGACATAGACGGACATAGGCGGACATAGGCGGACATAGGCGGACATAGGCGGACATAGGCGGACATAGACGGACATAGGCGGACATAGGCGGACATAGGCAGACATTAATGGACACCTCAATTGCTAAATAAAATGTTCAATTTTTGCTGTTATAGGGGATCATGTTTTTTGTCCGTTCGGTACCCTATATTTTCAAAACGGACAAAAAATAGAGCGGACAAAAACGGACAAAAATGGACAAAAACGGACAAAAATGGAAATAACATTTAGATGCTTCCTCCTCCTACTCTTCCTCCTCCTCCCCCTGGGTCTTCCTGATCTTCCTCAGTCCTCTTCCTCCTCCCCTCCTCAGTCCTCCTCCTACTCCTCCTCCTCGTCCTCAGTCCTCCTCATCAGTCCTCAACAGTCCTCCTCCTCCCCAGTCCTCCTCCTCCTCTTCATCCTCCTCCTCTTCCTCCTCAGTCCTCAGTCCTCCTCAGTCCTCCCCCAGTCCCCCTCCTCCTCCTCCTATTCAGTCCTCCTCCTCCTCCTCCTTCTCAGTCCTCCTCAGTCCACCTCCTCCTCCTCCTCCTCCTCCTCTTCCCTCTCAGTAATCCTCCTCAGCCATCCTCCTTAGTCCTCCTCAGTCCTCCCCCTCAGTCCTCCTCCTCCTGGGTCCTCCTCCTCATCCTTCTCATCAGTCCTCCTCCTCCCCAGTCCTCTCCCAGTCCCCCTCCTTCTCCTCCTCCTATTCAGTCCTCCTCCTCCTCCTCCTCCTCCAGTTCTCCTCAGTCCTCCTTCTCATTTCTCCTAAGTCCTCCTCCTGAGTCCTCCTCTTGAGTCCTCCTCCTCTTCCTTCTGAGTCCTCCTCCTGAGTCCTCCTCCTCTTCCCTCTCAGTTATCCTCCTCAGTCATCCTCCTCAGCCATCCTCCCCAGCCATCCTCCTCAGCCATCCTCCTCAGTACTCCTCAGTCCTCCTCCTTCTCAGTCATCGTCAGTCCTCCTCCTCAGTCCTCCTCAGTCCTCCTCCTCCTCCTGGGTCCTCCTCCTGGGTCTTCCTGATCCTCCCCAGTCCTCTTCCTCCTCCCCTCTTCAGTCCTCCTCATACTCTTCCTCCTCGTCTTCAGTCCTCATCAGTCCTCAACAGTTCTCCTCCTCCCCAGTCCTCCTCCTCCTCCTCCTCCTCAGTTCTCCTCAGTCCTCCTTCTCATTTCTCCTAAGTCCTCCTCCTGAGTCCTCCTCCTCTTCCTTCTGAGTCCTCCTCCTGAGTCCTCCTCCTCCTCCCTCTCAGTCATCCTCCTCAGTCATCCTCCTCAGCCATCCTCCCCAGCCATCCTCCTCAGCCATCCTCCTCAGTACTCCTCAGTCCTCCTCCTTCTCAGTCATCGTCAGTCCTCCTCCTCAGTCCTCCTCAGTCCTCCTCCTCCTCCTGGGTCCTCCTCCTCCTCCTCCTCCTCCTGGGTCCTCCTGGGTCTTCCTGATCCTCCCCAGTCCTCTTCCTCCTCCCCTCCTCAGTCCTCATCCTACTCTTCCTCCTCGTCCTCAGTCCTCCTCATCAGTCCTCAACAGTTCTCCTCCTCCCCAGTCCTCCTCCCCCTTCTGGGGCCTTTTCCTGGGTCCTCCTCCTGGGTCCTCCTCCTCCTGGGTCCTCCTCCTCCTGGGTCCTCCTTCTCCTCCTCAGTCCTTCTCCTCCTCCTCCTCAGTCCTCTTCCTCCTCTTCCTCCTCCTCCTCCCTCTCAGTCATCCTCCTCAGCCATCCTCTTCAGCCATCCTCCTCAGTCCTCCTCCTTCTCAGTCCTCCTCAGTCCTCCTCCTGAGTCCTCCTCCTCCTGAGTCATCCTTCTGGGTCCTCCTCCTCCTCCTCCTCCTGGGTCTTCCTGATCCTTCTCCTCCCTCTCAGCCATCCTCCTCAGTCATCCTCCTCAGCCATCCTCCTCAACCATCCTTCTCAGCCATCCTCCTCAGTACTCTTCAGTCCTAAAAATGTTTGTCCGCTAATGTCCACCAATGTCCATCCAAGTCCGCCAATGTCTGTCCGGGTCCGCCAATGTCCGTCCGAGTCCGCCAATGTCCGTCCGGGTCCGCCAATGTCCGTCCGAGTCCGCCAATGTCCGTCCGTGTCCGCCTATGTCCCAAAAAACACGTCCGTTGTCTCATAGAATCCAAAAAGGACAGGACATAGGCGGACATAGACGGACATGACACCCCCCCCTATAATGGTATCAAATTAGGGTAAATTAAATATTTAACAAAAACTTTTCTCTCCTCACTGTGGGGTTTAATAACCGTGCTAAAATACAACTGTCATTGGTTATCAATTGTTAATACTTAATTCCTGACTAAGAAATGCTAAATCTTGATGATAAGATGCTGTTAAATTAATTAAACAGCAACGTCTACCCCTCCCTCCTTAGCGTTTGGATGTGGGATGGTACTGATGCTGATAGTAGCCACTTCCTGTTGTATCACCTGGTTCCAGTATGTCACTATATTCAGCTACGTTAAACTCGCCGTCACTGTTTTCAAGGTTTGCTTATTGAAATAATGTTATTGAAATAATGGTGGAATGAGTGTCAAAAATGGTTGTATTCGCTGTTTTTGTTTTAACCTCAGTCTTCAAACCCATCACTAGTGCTCTTTTTCCAAAAATTGATCAACTCAGTTGTAACATCCGCTTAAATTTGTATTTAAATTGTACCTACAATCTTAATTTTCCAGATTTAATAACATGTTTCTCAGTACTCCCCGCAAGTGTACATGAACTTCAAGAATAAGAGTACGGAGGCTGTCTCAATCTATCAGTTCCTCCTGGATCTTTCTGGCGGAGTTCTCTCTTTGATACAGGTAACAAAACTAAATATGATTTTATGATCAATCTTTTAGTAAATTCTGGGGTCGGTATTGTCGGGGTCACCACCAATCTGAACTTTGAAGTGTAGTTCACCACCAATCAAAGGTCGACATTAAAAAGCACTGTGTGATTAAACAACTAGTGTAATTTTAAAAACTTCTATTAGGAGGATTATGACCTACTCCTACTCAGAATTACTCATAAAACTCCTCTTTCCTCAGATGGGACTGATAGCCTACAACTACGACGACTGGATGACCTTCCTTGGAGACTTCACCAAGTTCGGTCTGGCTGTCCTGAGCATCCTCTACGACCTCATCTTCATCACCCAGCATTACATACTGTACCGTGTACCAGCCTATAGTAGACTAGGAGAGGAGAGGATCAGGAGTGAGAGTAGTGAGGCGCTACTCCAGGCAGAGGAGGGACAGGATTCTGATAGGATAATATCTGCTCCTGTAGATCAGCTGGGATAGCTGCACTCTCACAGCCCTTATCTCCTCACAAGGCTCCTCTTTCAGCAGCTCCCCTCGGACTTCTTTTGCTCCTCCTTTTTCTCCCTCCCCTCCTTTCGCTCCTTTTTCTGGACCTCTCCTCCTTATTTTGTTCCTCCTTCTTTTTCTCCTCCTTTTTCTGATGTTCTCCCTTTAGTTCCATCTCTTCCTCGTTATTCAAGTTATTCTGGTACACATGAGCAATAGGAACAAATAGGGTTGAAGATGTGCACGTGTTAGTGCACGTGTTAGTGCATGTGTTGGTGGTTGATGCACTCTCTGCAGGAAGGAGGGTTTATCATTTAAAGGCTGGATAAATGCATTTGTTCAGTACTCTGTAGGCTCATTCAAGAGTTTGTGTGTTGGTGCACGTGTTTGTGTCTTCTGTAAAGGTTGTGTGATTGACTTGACTCTGATTTTGTTATATGAAAGATTGTTTTGTTTTCAGAAATCGGTTACTGTCCGGTTCCTCCTTTTATATGAGCTGCTGCATGATTACAAATGAAATTGTAGATTTGGTGATGTCTTGGGAGGAATTTCCGTTAGTTTTGATTCGACATTATTTATTTGGTGTAATCCTTGAAGGGATGATATTATGTTTCTGATCTTCTTTGTTGCACATTATGATCACATTTTGCTCGTATTTTATCCCGTGTTCAGTTATTAACAAAATGTTAATTTAACAGTTCTTTTTCAAAGATGCAACTCATTTTTGACAGTTCATATAATTATCATTAGTCAGTCATCAGAATCAGTTATTTTTTATGTTGATTTTATCTATTTTACTTTATCATCATATTATTATCATTGTGTTGATATTTTAAGCAAATAAGACGGTTTTATAGTGACAGTAAAGGTACAGGTGGCCAATCTAATGATTATTTTTTCAAGTTTGTTTTATGTAAATATGTTATTTTGTGATGAATGAATTCAAAATTTATTAAGTGATAATGATTGTCGTTGTGAATATGATAAAAACAGTTGTGTATTTCATATTATCTTCTGTGGGCTTGATATCTAACTGATGCGGAGGTGACATCCATTTTCTTCTAAAATGTCACCTCCTCCCGTTTAGTCAAGTCTGTCTCTCTGAATAAATCGATTAAAAAAACAGCTGATATATCTGCAGTTTCAATGAAGCGTAAAGTTCGTGTGACTAAATTATTACGTGACTAAATTCTTACCCGACAACATTTGTAAACATCTGCTTTGATTGGTTATGTTTTTAAAGCCTATGGATGTTATCACGTGACTTAACAAACTAGTGCTGCTGAACAAATGAAAAAGACTGAATGATATTTAACTTACGAATCTTACACTAGAAAGATGACTGAATGAAGTCAAGGAAAACATGAAAATAAGATAAGAAAGAAGGTTCCACAGATAAGGAAGAAGGTTCCACAGATAAGGAAGAAGGTTCCACAGATAAGGAAGAAGATACCTATCTGATAAAGTAGATAAAGTCAATGTCTCCAAATAACGTTATCATTGCTCCTCCCCCGCCGCTCAGTGATTTTCAAAGACGTGCTCTCACACTCTTCATAAAGAAGAAAAGGTTTGTGACACCCTCTTTCTCCCTTCTGTCCCCTAATATACAGAAAGGGGGTTAGCAACATAAAGCGAAATATAATCTCAATTTGGGTTTTGTTTATATTGGGCTGCAAAGTGCAAACCCCCTTTTGTTTTAGCGTTATAGCTTTATTGAGTAGACATATTTGTCTGATGACTTAATTAAATCAGCACACTTGCTATGACATCACAGACATATTTGGAATAAATACACTTAACTCCAATATCTCCTGTCAGGTCCGGTTATGAGAAGAAGGACGCTATCATCAGCCGGAAGTACAAGTGGTTGGAGGATTTGAACCAGAGAGATCCTGATCTGGAGGGGATAGAGATATCAGAGTCTAGCTTAGAGGAACTCAAGAAGAAAAGAGAGAGTTTGGTTGGTGCAGTTAGATGTGCTACTCGTATGACTTTTCTCGGATTAAAGAGTCTTACAGTAGCTTTATTTATGACTTTCATCCACGTGATAATATTTTCGTTCATTATTTATCGATAATTTTACTAGATCCGTTGAACAGCAGGCTACAACCCCACATTGTTATTACTACATCTGTTAGAGTTCCTAAACAACCCTCTGCAGTGCGAAGAGAAACACAGACTGTTCGAGCAGCTGAAGAACCTGCTCCCTGCCACAGAAGAAGATGAGAACCAGCAACAGTTCCCCCAATATCAACAAGGAGGCTACCTACCCCAGCAACCTGGCTACCAGCCCTCTTTTAATGTTACTCCTGGTAATTATGGGGTACTAAGAGACTTACATATTGCTATATTGCTATTAATGGGGAGTCACTAGATAAATGGCATCTTCAAATTCAGTCAGTATTTTAATTTAATTTTAGCGTCAGAAATGTTGATGCATTTAGAAGATTCAGATGATGATAATTGTGTAAATATTGACTTTGAACCCCAGGGTACCCCGGTCCAGTGGGTTCTGTACCCAACTTCCACCCCACTCCCTACGCTCCTCCCTACTCCTCCACACCCTACTCAGTTGTTACCGAGCCTGTCACTCCCAAGAAGCCCTCCGAGATGAGCCCCGTACGTTTTATTTCAACTTAGATTTTCGATCGTGGAATTATTTTGCTGTTAACAAATCAGCTTCCAGTGTTGACGAATCAAAACCCAGAGTGCTTCTCACGGTTCAATTTGCCGCCAGAATGCTGATTCATTTATAGAAGCAGGATTTCCGAATATCCATAACAATCATGCCTTTCTAACAGTGACCTCTTTCAGATGCAAGGAGACAGGCAGATCATGAAACCCTCGGACATGAGCCCAATAAGCAGTCACGAAAGAAGCGGGTACAACAGGAGCTGGGACAACATCAGTCCGGTCAGCAAACCCCCGGAATCGGACACTCACGACCAGTACAACAAGTTCCCCTCCAGTGAATACTCCACCCCCTCAGCTGCCACTAAGTACGCAGAGACTAGGGAGAACAGGATAGATTCCTTCACCAAAGCGTTTACAGATACGATCAGCAAGGCAATGATGTCAGAGCTGAACATGTCCCTGGAGAGTGCCACCAAGACAGACTCCAACCCTGAATCTCATCCTTCTCCTCTGAAACCTGCTGATCCTGCACCTGCTCCCTCCTTAAAGCCGGACTCCTTGCTCAGTCCTAAACACAAACCTAAAGATATTCCAGACATTAAGAAACCGGAGCCAGCAGCACGACCGAGATCACCTGGAGCAAGGCCGAGATCACCTTCAGCACGACCGAGATCACCTGGAGCAAGGCCGAGATCACCTACAGCACGACCGAGATCACCTACAGGACGACCGAGATCACCTACAGCACGGCCAAGATCACCTGGAGCAAGGCCAAGATCACCTGGAGCAAGGCCGAGATCACCTACAGCACGACCGAGATCACCTACAGCACGACCGAGATCACCTGGAGCAAGGCCAAGATCACCTGAAGCAGTGAGAAAACCGGAGCTGAAAACATCAGAGGTGCCGAAAAGAGGAGATGGGAAGGTACCTGAACCGAGGAGGGTGGAACACACGGCTGTTAACAAGGGAAGGAAGTCTATCAGTGGAACAGAGTCTAACTCTTCTGTCGCCTCCCTGAAGCATCCTCCTCAAAGGTAAGAAAACACATTGCCTGAAGCATCCTCCTCAAAGGTAAGAAAACACACTGCTACTACAGACAGATCCGTCCGAAAAAATCGATCTGCCGACACACAAAGCTTACAAAGGATTTTTGACGTTTTTGAGTCCTAATAGATGTCCTTTATGGCTGACCAACTTTTCCAAACTTTTCCACGTGTCTTAAGGCCACTTTTTGCCACTACCACTTTTTACCACCTTTCTTGTTTGTCGAATATCTTTAGTTGTGATCATCGTAAAAGGTTGCGGATCAATAGAGTGTGTTCATATTACCATGAAGAAAAACTTTTGTAATAACAATTTTTACGTCAGATAATCAGTTAATTGGATAATTATCAATTAGCTAATTAGCAAAATTCTAAAAATTTTTTATTGGCTCAAAATGATCGGAATAGCTTAAAACACGGAGAAAAGTAGGTTTTAGAAAAACTTTGAAAATTTTTCACTTACATTTTTTTTCGAGACTTGGAAAAATTTCGAAAATTCAAAATATTTTTTTCCGCCAAAAGTGATCAAATTGCATGAAACGCGGAGAAAATGCTTTTCAAAAAAACTTAGTGAATTTTTCGTTTCAAGAATACTTAAATCACCAATATTTGTAGTTGGAGTTCAGTAAATCGCGGCAGATTTTTTTAATCAGGAATTACTAAGTGGAAAGGTCTGAAACTGAAAAACGTTAACCATACGATATAAGAGTTTCATAACTAATTACAATACAGCCTTATCGATTTTCACAGAAACTGCACCAATGGCACAGTCAAGATCGAAAGACGAAACGATAGCCTGCTGTACTATCATTTTATTGATTTCAATGATGAATCAGTGGGGTTAAGATAATCACATTTGTAATAAATAAAACCTCTCTGTACCGTCAATTGTGCTAATCTAAACCGGCCTACCTGGATTACCAGACCTCTTCTTTTCCTCAACAATCAAACCAAGTTGTTCATATAGCATTTGGTGGGCGATGTAAGTTTCATTGAATCACAATACGACACAATACGTGTATATTATATGGCTCTTAATGAGGTTTATGAAACGCTTAATACCGTGAGAAACCCGGTATAGAGACGTTTTACAGTTTATCACGAAAACGTATACTTGGTCTCATGGCTCATTTACAGTTCGAAGAAGGCAAGAACAGACCAGGGAAACTAAGGTACAGCCAGATCCAGGAAGCAAGTGTAAATACACCTTCCAACATCTACTGTGACTTGTTTTGTATTGCAGTACTGCATACTGCTTCATTTGCTATGCGGTACCTATAAAATCACCCCCATATGTCAGGGTCGGCTAAAAGTAAAATCAACAAGGATAACATACGGGCAAGGATAAGATTTAGATACGAGCGTCGGGCAAGGGGTAGTAAAGAACCGGTAATAATTCATTCAGTAAAATGTTCCACGAGAGTCAGGATATTTTGGAAATTGCTAATAGAGACAGATCCTGATCAGGAAGGATTGTTAATGTTATTGAGGATGTTGATTTGAAATCCGGAAGTCGTGAAGTAAAAATACAGGTTCTCCCGACAGGATATTCGGGGCCCATGATGATCAGCTCGGGATTAATGTGGGACAGATCGAAGAGCATTGAAAAGAGCGAGTTGACATTTTAAGCTTTCTGGTCTTTTCTTGCCTTCTTTGAGCTGTCAAAGAGTCATGAGACCAAGTAGACGTTTTCGTGATAAACTGTAAAACCTCTCCATACCGGGCCTATCACGGGAGAAATTAAACGAGAAGTGTACGGTATAGAACGTTTCATATACCTCATTAAGGGCCATAATATAATATACACGTATTGCATTGTGTCGTATTGTGATTGAATACAGCTCGATATGTACTTACATCGTCCACCAAATGCGATATGAACAACTTGGCTTGATTGTTGAGGAAAAGAAGAGGTCTGGTAATCCAGGTAGGCCGGTTTAGATTAGCACAATTGACGGTACAGAGAGGTTTTATTTATTACAAATGTGATTATCTTAACCCCACTGATTCATCATTGAAATCAATAAAATGATAGTACAGCAGGCTATCGTTTCGTCTTTCGATCTTGACTGTGCCATTGGTGCAGTTTCTGTGAAAATCGATAAGGCTGTATTGTAATTAGTTATGAAACTCTTATATCGTATGGTTAACGTTTTTCAGTTTCAGACCTTTCCACTTAGTAATTCCTGATTACTAAAATCTGCCGCGATTTACTGAACTCCAACTACAAATATTGGTGATTTAAGTATTCTTGAAACGAAAAATTCACTAAGTTTTTTTGAAAAGCATTTTTCTCCGCGTTTCATGCAATTTGATCACTTTTGGCGGAAAAAAATATTTTGAATTTTCGAAATTTTTCAAGTCTCGAAAAAAAATGTAAGTGAAAAATTTTCAAAGTTTTTCTAAAAACTACTTTTCTCCGTGTTTTAAGCTATTCCGATCATTTTGAGCCAATAAAAAATTTTTAGAATTTTGCTAATTAGCTAATTGATAATTATCCAATTAACTGATTATCTGACGTAAAAATTGTTATGACAAAAGTTTTTCTTCATGGTAATATGAACACAGTCGATTGATCCGCAACCTTTTACGATGTTCACAACTAAAGATATTCGACAAACAAGAAAGGTGGTAAAAAGTGGTAAAGTGGCAAAAAGTGGCCTTAAGACACGTGGAAAAGTTTGGAAAAGTTGGTCAGCCATAAAGGACATCTATTAGGACTCAAAAACGTCAAAAATCCTTTGTAAGCTTTGTGTGTCGGCAGATCGATTTTTTCAGACGGATCTGTCTGTACTATGCCTGAAGCATCCTCCTGAAAGGTAAGAAAACACACTGCCCGTGAAATGGTGATATGTTAAGAAAGAATTAGTAGCACGTGTTAGAATTGGTTCTGTACGATCAGTGATCACTCCCTTGTCATGCGGAAACAAGTTAATCTGGTAACATTTCTAAACTTAATATTTGTTTACGACATCTTCTCACAGCCCACAGTTGAAACAGAGAAAAGAAGAGGTGTCTGACTTGCCACCAGTTATCAAGATTAGTAAAGCAGAAATCCATTCAAAAGTTATGTCATGGCCCACTTCTCATCCTTTTGCTAGAAAGGTACGTTTTTTTAGCAAGTCATATTCAAGCTTTCAAGAGTTGAGTGACCCGTAAATCAAAATTTATTCTTTTTTACCAGTCTTATCATTGTTGACTGGACAACAAATATACAATTATAGAACAGACCCCTCCCAAATCTACAGCTACCGTGCTTGTAACCTAGCTTAAAACCCTCCCCAGACAGGAGAAAGACCTCCCGACGTGGACAAAAAGCCGGCTGGCAAGAAGGAAAGTGCTGACTCCTCCGGGAGTTCTCTGTTGGAGTTCGCATTCCAGTCCGCTCTCTTTGGGAACACACTGTTCGGAGACAAAGAGGCTGCTTCTCCTACTCCTGGCGCTGCCCCTCCTCCGCAAGGTGGGACTGAGGATCTGTTATCTGTTATCATTATTATAATATGTGTGTCAACATGTCCTTATAACTCTGTTGCTATTTATTTTTGGGCGGTTATTTTTAAAAATTAGGATTCATGGCTTGGGTTAACGTGCATGTTAGCGGTTAGAGTTGCAGCTAAGGGTCAATGGTCCTGTGACGCGTGGGGTTTTAATTGGGCGAGGTTTAAGGCCGGGACAACGTTTTAGCTTCAGAATAGAGGAGAGCAGTTTTTGAAATAATATTATGATGAGGGGCCCGGGTGCCAATAATCTATTTGTTATCAATCAAACCTTCCAGGACCGAAAACCCCGCCCCCGACCACGAGCCAAGCCCCATCTGATCTCCTAACTGCTCTGTCTATGAGTTATGGCGGTGGTCACCCCAGAAAGAAGGAACCACAAGGAGAAGACAAAAGAGACCAGGTTTGTTATTATTGGGGAGATTTGGTCTTCTTGCGGTGTTTTGAAGTGTGACTCATACGATGCGTCAATCGGTCCACTTTATGACCACTTCAATTGCCCTGAGATGAACAATTAAACGAAAATTTATTTTTATATTCTATGGAATGGTCTCGTTTATGTTATCAGTTATGTCTGTTACGGTCCTTCCACGACCCCTATCCTCATTTTAAAATAGCAGGACTCCATCTTATGATCACATGACCCCATATTATAACCACGTGACCCCATATTATAACCACGTGACCCCATATTATAACCACGTGACCCCATATTATAACCACGTGACCCCAGGAAAAGTCCAGGAAAAGAGACCGCTCCCCCGACGTCAGGTCCCCTTCTCCGGAGCTAGTTCAAGTGTACAAAACTGAACCTCAGAAGCCTGAAGATAAGGTAAACTTATGTTCTGCAATTCTGTATGCTGTATGCTGTATTGATACTTTCGTACTGACTTTGAATTCGAACTCGATACGTCAAGTCTTCAAGTAAAGGTTTATTACAGTTAAACGCATTGTAACGTGATTGAAGGTGCGTTTTAAGGGGGCCGGAGGGTCTTCATCAAAATTGTCTCGAAATTGATTTTATAGTTGTTTCTGATGGAGGGGGGTAATATGTATCGAATGCATTTGGTCCCATGGAAAAATATTGTTCCTAGCCGAAATTATTGCCGGTCAAAGGTCAGTGCTTATGTGTTATTGTATTGCGCGAGCGATATTCAATCGCACGCCCTGAAAATCGAGTCTAAAAATCTATCTCCTACATTTTTTGAGCAATCACCCAGAAAAATTTTTTATTCGATTTTGAAAATCTTGGACCTCAAAAATTGCCAAAAATAGAGGTCCAAGATTTTCAAAATCGAATAAATTTCCAAAACGCTCACACACGTGTTTTGTTTTTACCGTGAGTTTACTCGAGGAGGGGGGGGGGGGGGGCTTACTCGACGTGATTATACATTTTTAGTGGTTGATTCAAATTAATCCACATTACGGATCACTTCTCAAAGGCTTCCATTTCCAAAATGATCAGTCTAATATTTAATCTAGTGAAAAGAAAACCAGAAAAGCATATTTGTTGCTCGGATCGTAAATCAGCATTATATTATCTATTTACTATCCCAATTTGTGGAGCCCTCCCAATTCACTCTTTGAATTTGGGGATATCTGTTGTTAAGATAGTCGAAATACGAAATCACGGTATTGAACATAACTACAGGACAACAATCACTAATCAGTGTGTAGATAAAAGACGTACTGTTAGTTACAGTGATACAAATAAGAATCAATCAATATTATTTATTAAGTAATGGTATGGAAATAAGAATCAATGAATATTATTTATTAAGTAACGGTATGGAAACTTCTATCCAGTGGACTGAGTTAGTGATAGATTAAGTCTCACCTGGATTGACACACTTAGGACGAGTGTATTGGTGAGAGAACAATATTCCCTGCTCACATGTGATCTCCTTACTTCCCATCAAGGAGTAGCCTGGCTCACAGGACACTGAGATCGTGGTCCCGTATACGACAGGGAAACTCGAGTTAGTGATGAGATAGTTCTCAGTCAACAATCTTTTGCACTGATCTGAGGGAAAGAATGGGGGTAAAAGATAAAAATAAAAAGACCGAAATGATTAATATTTTGGGATTGTGACTTTTATAATTGAATGCAACAGTAATTGTTCTTCAAAGCAATATTGAGTAATTGAAACAGCCTTGAAAGAATCAAATTATATCAAAAGGGATTTTATTTCTACCTATGACCAACCATACGATATGCATTCACTATTTAACAAACCTATGGTGCAAGTAGGACGTTGCTCCAGGGTGAATACTACTCCCCTCTCACATGTGATGGTATTGCCCCCAGCTAGAGTGTGACCCGGCTTACAGGCAACTTCCACCACTGTTCCTACTATTAAGGGGAAGGTGCTGGTCGTTGTCATGTCTGAGAGAGCTGCTGGAAGTTCTGTACACGTGTCTGTGGGGAACAGTTCGTTGTTAGGTCTTTAATTAACAAATTAACAATGATTCAGCAAAAATCATCTGTGTTCCGGGATCTCACTTAAAACACAGTGAGGAGTGTCTTCATACTGCCAGTTCTTTTCTTGATACAGGTGATCAGACCGTTTCCTGACAGACTGTACCCCGGGATACACTCCAGTTCCACTTTTGTTCCGTAGTCCACTGGAAGTGGGATGTTTGTCTTCAAGTTGAACATTTCATCCGGTAACCCAGTGCACTTGTCAATAGAGCAGCTAGGGAAGTTCTGGGGGGAGTTGAAGTCTGTGTCCTGGACGCAGATGATGGTTCTGTCTCCAGTTAAGGAGTATCCAGCCACACAGTTCACATCCACTGGTGTCCCCTTCTTCACGGGGAACTGGGAGTCACTGTAGAGATTACTGTCTAGCCTTAATCCCGAGCAAGTTCCTGTACAATGGAGTTATTATCTTATGTTTAAAAACTCCGCGTAAAAGATGACTAAGATTCAGATAAAGCCCACAATATAGATTTCCAGAATAACGATTTTGTTTTAATTTCAAGCTATACGGTTTAAACAGATTGAAGAAAATTGATACATTTGAAACTTAGAGGATCAGCTCACAAACCTAGTTCATTACAGCGAGGTTTCTCCTGGAAGAGGAAGTCAGTATCCTGGTCACACGTGATCACAAGGTCCCCCCTTAGCTCCCTTCCCTCCGAACACTGTACTTGTACTGTAGTGCTGTAAGTCACCGGGAACTGCGTGTCTGTCTGTAGGTGTGTGATCTCAGGGGGCAGCCGCGTGCAGCTCTCTGGTAAGATAGTACTGTAATTTTATGTTTATCTTCAATTTTAAAGGCTTTTTAATACTTAGAGCACATCAGAAATCCTGCTCGAGTTCACTCAGTCTGTTGATTCACAAACCCTCGACTACTCACTTGCAATACAAAGAGGATCCTGGTGCGACTTGTATATCCTATCCTTGATACAGGTGATAGTGTCTGCTCCTGACAGATAGTGCCCAGTCTCACAGTCCACTGTCATCACAACACCGTACTGCACCGGGAACTCTGTACTTGTTCCTAGGTTTGCTGTGTCCAGGAGGGACCCGCACGTGTCTATGATGATGAGATGTTAATTCTATCTGTTCCGTTAAAAGTGTCCAATTAAGTGACTTAACTGCTTAGAAAGTTTAAACTTGCTAAAATTACTTTTAATAATCACCAGACAAACCTAGCACACATGAGGGGGGTGTTCATTGAGGAAAAGTTAGTTCCCTCAACACATGTGAGAGTGCTGTCTCCAGTCAGAGTGTGCCCGGGACTACACTTCAGGGAAACTTCAGCTCCAGGTGGGAGGGGGAACTGTGTTTCTGTTATAATCTCCTTCCAGTTAGAAGGCAGACTCTCGCAAGAAACTGAGCGATTTTGATAATTATATATAAAATAGTGCAAGCTAAAAGAAATCATTTTAAATCAAACTTTGTTGGTCTCAATATTGATTTGACCCAGGCGAAGTATATGAAATGCTAACTGAAAGAAATATACCACAACGAATGTGATCCTCGGAAGCATGCGACCCTCTAGGACACGTGATACACAGCCCTGCTCTCTCCGCACTATAACTGTTTGTGGGACACTGCTTGCATACTGACAGTGAACCGTCCTTGAAGGTCCCTGCCTTGCATGGAACTGGAATTGGTGTTTGGTTAGTAAACCACCAACCAGAATAAGAGAGGGTATATTGTTTTATATTTGCTGAGATAAACTGGGTCACTCTTGTGATGTGTTATTTTCAAGAGTATATTTTTAGGAACTTACTGCAAGCCGTTTTTGCATTGTTAGGTTGCTCTCCAATGTTGCATTTAGCACATTTCGTCATAGAAGCATCCCGATAGGTGCCTTCTTCACATGAAACTGAAATGAAACAGCGAATTAAAGCCAGACTAGAGGGTATATTTTATTTGTTGACATAAACCGTTTTAATACTATCAACACTACTAATACTATATTTGACCGAAACCCATAATCATCATCATCGCTCGCTTTTTTCCATTCATATAACATAATTGTAATAGATTAAGAAGAAATACCCGAAGGCAACTGTACTGGGCAATAATGATTCAATAAACATCAGTTTATAATTGGACACTAACTACCACCCTTATTCCGAAATATTAGGTATCGACCCAAAAGCAACCCAAAGCAATTTTTACAGCATGATGTAATTAATCGTAACTTATAAAAATTCGTAGATCGTGAATGAATGGGAAAGGCGAGCAACCGATTTTATTCTCGGTATCATTTTGCATTTGCGGACGGTCAATTAAATTAATATCATTTCCTTTTGTTTGGGAAAGAGAGACACTGGCAGCGGTCCACTCTACCCATGATTATGGGTTTTTGTCAAATATATGTTTTACTGTTTACTGTTTACCCATATCTGCCCTTACTTAAACCTCACATCTGGTCTTGAAAAAAGGAGACTCACCTATATATACCACCACTTCAGAGATAGCATGGCCCAACTTGTCCGAGGGTGAATCTGTTATCATGATCATATCTCCTTCCGCATTGTTACAGTTCATGGTGTATGTTTGAGCTTCTGGATCCGTTGGGTGATCAGAGTCAATATCTGAAGCTAAAGTACGTGTCATTAGACGGGATTTTATGTTTTACTTGGTAACTGTAGAGTGTGGTCAAGTAACTGTCAATCGTATGGTTTGTATGTGTTTTAGTTTTCCCTTAGGTTTGCAAGCTTGTATGAATTCTTTATAATATAATAAATTATGAGAAGACTTAACTACCTGAGATTGTGCCGCAGTCGCCCGTTTCTATCCCGCCACTGTAGACCTTGACGGCAGTGTCAATAATCCTCTCTTGACAGCAACTTAACCTGTTGGTTATCTTAACGACTGCTATCTCGTACCTCCCTGATAGGGAAAGTTTTAGCCAGTTTTGCAAATCACCGTGTCGAGCACTGTAGTACGTGCTGTAATCTCCATCGTGAGCTTTGTCCGGTGTCATGTCGTAACGATACCAGTTTGCTGCGTCAGATTTTACTATTGGTATTTTCTCTAATTCGGCTCCTGCAAGAAGGAATAAATAAAAGTGTTTGTGATATTCATATTCAACAGTTTCTTTCTGCACGTGCAAAATGGATGAGAAATAGGAAGTGGAAAAGTTACCAATATTATAACACGCACATGCAAAGATCATTGATCACGGGCTTTCCATTATTATTATAAAATTATTTATCCTAAAATAATAATATCGGTTTGGTTTGCTGCGGAGATGACAGTGCTGCATGCCGCCGTTTTTTTTCAAAACGGCGGCGGTGTGGTTAAAATCGTCGGCGGCGGCGGCGTAATCGGCGAAAGGTCACGTGATTTCGCAGATTAAATTTTCCTCTTGAATAATTCCATGCGGAGAGCAATTTTTAGCAGTTTTGAATTTTGACACGAAGCTTGTATTTAATATTTGTGAGTTCATTTCAGATAACCTTGTGACGCACTGAGGCCCTTGAGGCCCACGGAAAACCATGCACGATAAAAACTCTAGAGCTTAAAAAGGAAAAATGTGTTTTGTAATTTACCCTGGTCACAATCAGTTAGAGAACTAGCAGTCCATCCACTCCTTGCTGTTATGTGCGTAGTGCCCACCAGAAAGCACTCTCGTAAAGCCCAATTCGCGGGACTCACGGCTACTCCTTTACAGCGGGGAGTATCATCACACCATTCCTGACAACTTTCTAAACTCCTGAATTCTCTCGTTGATAATTTCTGGGAGTCCGGAAACATACCAACATTCTGCTCGTAGCTTGTATAACAGCCTGAAATATATTATAGATAAGTTTGCGTACCGTGTCTATATATATTATCGCAGTTTATAATTTAAAACGTAAGTAAGGAAACGTAAAAGAAAAAGTCAAAGAATCAGAATAGCATTAGTCCAATTTTGGTTTACATTTTTGCGACATTAAAAGGTTTGATCAAGTCAACGCGAAGTCATGGATAGAAGTTGAGAAATTGCTTTCTGTAACTAGGTGATATCCGTTCGGAGCTTTTAAAAATTGTAAAAAGATAAATAAATATAATAATATCAACTATCAGAATAACTGATAAACAATCTATCTACTGATAAACAATACTGGTGAACTACTATGGTAATTAACTACTGGTAAAAATACTGGTAAACTTAACACTTACAAACATATCTGAAGCTAACTTTCGATGCACAACTTTACGTGACGCGGTTATAGCTTTATAGCGTGACGTAGTATAACTATATTGCTTAAACATGTGTAGATAAACGGCAAAATATCGACATTAGCGATGCCTGCTACAGTATCCACTCGTGTAGAAATCATATAGAAAATGATATGGTCTAAAATGTTGGATTTCGTTCAAAATATTCTTGCCAAAATTACGAAAGGGCGCATTCGGCGTATCTTACTATATATAAAGCGAGACGATATATATGGTTCCGTGCCATTTTACTGACACCATGGCATCAACTTTAACACGACTTCCCGCAAAAACCATAAAAGATATACAACTGAAACTTTTTTGACTGGGTCAAATGCTTTAATGGCCTTCAAATCAGCATGAAAAAATAAAAAATAGGCCAAGGAATAAGAATTTTAGTGCCCAAAATTTGGACTCCCAAGTGATGTCAAAAACGCGAATTAAATAGGTAATAATTATTTTAGTCTCTCGAGTCTTGACACCACTTTAGGGTAGACGGGTTCCTGCTAGTAACTATAAACAGGCTCACGCCGTGTACGCCATTTGAAAACGGCGGCGGCGGCGTGGCTGGAAAATCATCGGCGGCGGTGGCGTTCGGCGGCGGCGTGCAGGACTGGAGAAATAAATAAACAATAAAAGGCTTACCTGGCCTGAATAGTTATGACGAACGTTACAATCAAAGGTAACAACTTGTCAATCTTCATTGTACATGTACACTGCAAGATGGTTTCAATATATAAAATTTTCAAAGTCTAATAAAAGTGTTTAAAAGGCTAGACAAAAAAGCACGAATCATAGCCTGTTGGCAAAATCATTAGCAATATGGTGGACAAATCAAATTATTGTTGTCCTCTAATAATTTCAGTCCATACTTGAATTTCTTTTCAGACCATACTTATTACTTAAAATAACGAAATACTCGAGAAATTCCTAAAAAATATAAATTCAAACATACGCTGAACACGACAGCAAATAATAATAAATGCGGCGACCACACATGTGAGGTTTTAATTACAATAATGGTCTTGTTTTTTAACCCCCTTGAATACACTTAGCACGGGAATAAAATAAATAAGTTTAAATTAACTAAGTTTTTTAAATTAATTAAGTTTAAATAACTTAATCCAACTATCTAGGTCAGTCGTGTGTGCAAACTACTGGCTCTGCACAGATGTCATGTCTTATAAATATAAACTCACACACTTAACTCTACCCGGGTCAGCAACCACGCACAGATAAACTAAACGGCTCACCCGGGTTTAGCACAGATAAACGGTGAGTCATGAGTCACCCTTCTTATCCGTGGTGAAACTAGACTATGATGTGAGCGGACTGAGTAGAGGCTTGTTACCTGTAAGAAAAAGACGTGACTCACGTAGAAATCTATCTCACAGCAACCAATTGAATACTCTTGTAGTCGAGCTGTGAGGGGCGACGAAGCACGGGTTTGTATTGTCCTTTCTATCCATGGCGCCTGTAGACTTGATGTGTGCTGTTCTTACTTTTATAACATACTAGAAAACCAGTTTTTATCGCATCAAAAAAATATCTATCCTTACGGAAGATACAGACAATTATTGTGCCAAACACTAAATACACAACGTAATAACCAGAAACCGATAAAAATGCCATACAGTAATCTTTGCATGTGCACGTGTCCGTTCCGCCCTTATTACTCTGCAACATTTTGATTTTTATCCAATTTGCAAGTGGGCACTGGGCAGTCAGATAGACGGACAAACAGAAGGGAAAAAAACTGTCGTTTAATTATATAATTAGGTAGGTTTACAAAAAAAAAGACGAAGATGAAAAAAATAATAATAAATTGGTCACACGAAGGTTCATTGACACTATAAAAACATTTAATTCTTTTAAAAATCAGCATAAATTAAAATAGAAAAAATTAAATTAGGTATAAATATAACTATTTATAAAAAGTAAATATAAATAATGAACTGTATCAAATGAAAAGATTATCGTACAATGAAACATCACGCTTAGAATAACTGAGGCTGATTTACAGGAACAGTAAAATCCTATCTGAATCATGTTCCTTCTTCTTCTACTCTAGTTGATAAACTGGAGCACACTATCTTATCTTAGCATAATATGAGCATAATATCTTATCTTAGCATAATATGAGCATAATATCTTATCTTAGCATAATATGAGCATAATATGTTATTTTAGTAACGCTTCACTCTCCGTATCTCTAAGGTTACTATAAGCTGGTACACGGTACAGTATGTAGTGCTGGGTGATGAAGATGAGGTCGTAGAGGATGCTCAGGACAGACAGACCGAACTTAGTGAAGTCTCCAAGGAAGGTCATCCAGTCGTCGTAGTTGTAGGCTATCAGTCCCATCTGAGGAAAGAGGAGTTTTATGAGTAATTCTGAATAGGTCATAATCGTCCTATTAGAAGTTTCGAAAATTACACTAGTTGCCTAATCACACAGAGCTTTTAAATGACGACCTTTGATTGGTGGTGAACTTCACTTCAGATTGGTGGTGACCCCAATAATACGTATCCCATTATTTACTAAAAGATTTGTCATAAAATCATATTTGATTTTGTTACCTGTATCAAAGAGAGAACTCCGCCAGAAAGATCCAGGAGGAACTGATAGATTGAGACAGCCTCCGTACTCTTATTCTTGAAGTTCATGTACACTTGCGGGGAGTACTGAGAAACATTTTATCAACGTTTATAAATTAAGATTGTAGGAATAATTTAAACAAATTTGTAGGCAGCTGTTACAACCGAGTTAGTAAATATTTGACGAATTAACTGTGGAAAAAGCGCAGTAGTGATGGGTGTGGAGAAAACATGAATAGCAAATCGAACCATTCTCTACAAACATTCCCAATCTCACAACTAACAAACCTTAAAAACAGTGATGACGAGTTTAACATAACTGAACATAGACACGTACTGGAACCATGTGATGTAGGATAAGGTGGCTACTAGCAACATTAGTACCATACCACACCCAACCGCTGTGGAGAAAGGGGTAGCAGTTGTTAATTCTGGGTCTGGACTCTTTGGCATGAGCGTTAAGGTTAGGATATGATAATTATTTCCCACCCTAACCCTCATTTTTTACACCGACGAGTCCCGGACCCGTTAATCACTAACATTGATAGCATCAAGTTTTGTTATTAAGAAATAGCTGCATTTTATTTTCAATTAGGATTGTTGAGTTGTTTGTTACCTGACAAGATTATTAAACACAGCGGGCTAGGCCTGTGTCCACCTTTCTTGTAACATACACACTGTATTATCGTGAACGCTGATGGTATTACCATTATTTAGATGTTTTTGGTTCATTAGCAGTTCCACAAATACAATTATATTTTTAGAATTTCAGATTTCTAGAATCATTTTTCTTTGAAGAAAATAAATCTCCTAGAACAATCGTTAATAGTACAACTGATTGTGTGAATAAAGAAAATAAAAGAGCTCTGACACTCACCGCATATGAAAAGCGCATGGAAGGAAAAACAGAAGTCAGACAACTGAACGTTGATGACACCATGAGGAAAAGCATCATAGTACTGGTTCCTGACCGGGGTTACCCACAGCATAGAGAAGTTGAAGGCTGAGTAGCACATAAACCCGAATACGTTGTAGAACAGGAAGTCAAAACTTAGTCCTGGTAGGAGAAGAGTTGTGGATTGTAATGATTTGCTACTGGTGTGATATCGGGAAAACAAAAATGTTTAGCCCGGGTGAAAATTCAAGCAGAACAACGGATATCACAAGATAAGATGCTTCCCTCGGTTGCTCCCCCCCCCCCCCATCCCCCATTAATCGTTAATTATCCTACCGACAACACTTTTCCGGGACCAATTCAGGTAGATTTGAGGATAATAGGAGATGGACCAAAAAGCAACGTAGAGCCATCCCAACACTTCAATAACAGTTTCTACCTTCTTAGAGTGTATCACAAACACCTCCAATTCTGAAGAGGAATGTTGTTCAGATTAGCAGACCAATCTAGAAGATAACACGTCTTGGAACCTGTTCTTTTTAAGTGCTTTTACGGCCTGTTCACCAGTCAATCAGTGGACGATGCTATCTTCTAACCTCTTATTGGTGGAATATACTTTGTGAGCATGGTAAACACAGTAACCATGGTAACGATGCTATCTTCTAACCTCTAATCGGTGGAATATACTTTGTAAGCATGGTAAGGTTGAGTGAGTCGTGTTGCAGCAGCTTAGTTGAGATGTACAACGTGCCAACTTCACCTCCAGCTTTAATGCTAACTGTCCTGTTGTTAGTCCCTTTCTTTACCTTAAGTGGGGTAGAGTTGTAGTTGACGATTGTGAAAATTAAACGGACAAATTGTAAAAATGTATACCTAAATTTGACCCGTTAACGTATATATAAAAGACGTATAGAGGTCAGGTCGTATAGAGACCATATTTCCACATTATCCCTGACGGAAAGTTCGAGAAAACGTCGTGATGAAACCTTTATCTGATGGCCGTTATTTATCACAAGGAGCTCTTGTGATGAAGGAGTACAGTTGAAGAGGAGATCTTGTTTTACAACTTCATTGAGCTGGAGAGTGAGGGTGCTGGTTTCATTTCTCAGTAGTTTAGAATGAGGGGTAGTCAGAGTGACCAGGGTAGTCTCAAGGGAAAATGTTGTTGTTAACAGGGTTGTTAGTAACAACAGAGGACCGTACATCTTTGTTTTAATAGTGGTTGTTAGAGAGGGAATTATTGAAGTGGAGATAAAGACTAGGATAGTGGGTTACGGAAAGAAAGTTTTTAAAAGATTAAAAACGAATGAAGCCTGGCATTCTATGATTGAATAAAATATAACATCTTCGAAGCAAGAAATCTGAACAAATAACAACATCTTTTGGCCCTTGTAAACCAGCACCGCATGCACTATAATACTAAGTACAAATAAATGATACCATCTCACTTTAAGATTCAGCAAAATAGCACTATTTTTCTTGAAAAGTAGCTTATCTAATGTTTGTGGATTGTGAAATTCAAGGATTGTGAAATTCGATCAGCCCCATCAGTTATCATGTGATTGATTGTAAACCGAGACGGTGCCCGTGTGGTTCTAATGACCAATTTTAATCTTAACAAATATATAATAAAAATAGTAATAACCCCTCACAATGGCACTGCGCTCTTAATAGTAAAATGCCACACTGTGTGGATCAGCACTTAACGACGGAATTTAAACCTCATCTGACAAATATCGCCAAAAATTAAAGTTTTGTATGTAATGCTCCAACGGCCAGAATGAATGACTCAACAAACAAAATTTTGTATCACAACGGGACAAGTCCCCATCCTCATACAAACACTACCGTCCCGTGTAAACAATAACAAACTAAGTACCTTATCGGACCTTATTTGAACCGACATTAATTGAACGCTGGAGGTCCTAGCGTTCATTTTAATGTCCGTTCAAATAAATTCCGTCCGTTTAAGGTCCGTCCAAGTTAAAGTCCGTTGAGATTTGTTCCAAAATTATTCCACTGCGAACTCATGTTTAGGATAATATGACATTGAGTTATTATACAATTTAAATATTCTAAGTATTACATTATGGCATGATCACTAATTTCTTTACCTTTGGCTTCCTCGTTCACTTCTTCGGAGTTATTAATTACATCCACATCTTGTATAAGTTTACACTGAAATGCAGGACCGAGGTGGTCAAATAAAAAATTGTTTTCAAAAAG